TATTCAAAGTCTTAAACTAATTTTTTTTTTTTTTTTTTTTTTAAAATGCCAAAATTTCTCCACCGTTGTGTGTGTATAAATAATTTTTTTATTTTTTTTTTCTTTCCTTCCTCGGGGAAGTTTGATTTTTTTAGTTGCTGTTGTTGTTGTAATTGTTGCTCCACAGTTTTTAAATATATATATATTGATATATCAGCCTTACAATTGATGACTCAGCTGACACTTTAAATTTTTTTTTTTATTTCTGTTTAGGCATATCGACATGTGACATTTTTTAAATATAAATATATATATATAGATATTTTTGTTACAAAATTTAAAATAAATATTGTAACAATTATTACAATATATATATATATCACAATTTTAAACTCGCATGACTTTGATGAATGAATCAAACCATTTTTATTTTATTTATTTATTTATTTTTTTTTTAATAAATTGAAAAATAAAATAAAAAAAAAACCCACTTTTGATTAAACAAAACGGAATTTACCACGGAGACTGAAAAGTTAATAAAAAAAAATACAATTATAGTTATAGTTATAGTTATCTTCTGCTTCTTCCTTTTTTTTTTTTTTTTTTTTCTTTCCTGATTTATTTTAAATATATTTAACTGAAGTTGTAATTGTAGTTGTAGTTTTTCACTTGCAAAAAAAAAAATAAATAAATAAATAAAAATAAATAAAAATAAATAAAAATAAATAAAAATTAAAAAAGAAATAAATGCATTATAAATATTAACTACTGGGTATGGTGTCCCGGCCAAACCGGCACAATACGCGTGATTATAATTTTTTTTTTTTTTTTAAAGTGCCGCCAGTCTGCCGGGAGTCTCGGCTGTGGGATTTTTTTTTTTTTTTTTTTTTCAATCATATATATACTATTATACTATACTATATTATAATAGCTATACACACACACACACACACAACTGATATTGCTATATTGACAATATTGACACTTTTCTATTTCTCTCCTCCCCCTCCTTTTTTTTTTCCTTCTTAGTACTTTACCTATTTATTAACTTACCTATTTATTTATTTATTTATTTATTTATTTATTTTTTACTTTAACTTTAACTTACTACTACTTACTCCACCTCCACCACCTCCTCCTCCTCCTCCACAGTCTAACAAAAATAAAAAAAAATCTCTTCTTACACCGCGGCCCCTCCTCTCCCTAAGAATTTGCCATTTTATTTTTGACTCTACCTATCCATCCATCCACAATAGGAGGGAGGGGGGGAAAGAGAAGGTCTTTTTTATATAAAATAACACCATATCCCCCCCCCTCCTCTCCTCTTTTTTTTTATTTATTTATTTATTTTCTTCTTTTTTTTCTTTCTTTTTTTTCATATCCCTAATAATCATTTAATATTTCAATCTATATATATATATATATATAGATATATATTTCTATATTTAATTCAAATACTCAAATACTCAACTATTTCATTTCATGCAATCACATTCAAAATCTCCTCCTCTAACTTCGGCACAACTAAATATAATGTTCCCCGCCGCACAAGCCCCAGCACTAGGACCAACACTAGGACCAACAACTACAATAACTACAATAACTACAACAACAGACTCATCACCTACAACTCTCGACTCTGAAACTTCAAGGCCCTCTTCATCTACTCATAACCAGCATAATAACATTAAATCAGAATTAAACTCATCATCATCATCATCATCAATAATAATAAAAAATTGCATTCTCACACAAAATACACATTCTCCTCCATTTCGGATACAAGACTCTGATCAAAACACTGACGAAGAAGAAAAAGAAAAAGAAGAAGAAGACGGAAAAAAAGAAAAAGACAATAATAAAGAAGATGAAGATAATGATAATGATAATGACGACAACGATGACCACAATGACGACGACGAAAAAGAAGATGACGACGAAGAAGAAGACGAAGAAGACGAAGAAGACTCAGATTCAGACTCAGATCAAGGACTCTCTTTAAACGTCCCCCAGAAAAAGTCATTTTTTAGTAGCATACACGACCAAATTCGCGGGTTTGATGACTCGGGTAAAAGATCAAGCACTAGAGGCAATAGCAATAGCAGTAGTAATAAACATAGACCACGAAAGGGAAGCAACACTAGTACTTGCAGTACCAGCGATCCTTGCGACAATGGCTATTATTCTGATGAAGTTGGTGGATCTTCCTCTGAAGAAGATGCTGGAGATATTCAAGCAAGTTTGCGCAATAGCATGCTAGACGTTTATGGCTCTGCTGTACGTCTTAGTAAGGTGGGTAAGAGTCCTTCTTCTCGTACAACAGGTCAAGGAATGATGCACCATAGCCATTCATATGCCAATGTCCACCATTACCAAAGCGCTATGAATTTATCGGGCATGATGACAAAACATCATCATCATCATCATCATAATCGGAAAAGACGCAATAATAATCATTATCTTCACCAACCACTTTTGAGTGCTGCGGCCAAGAGCGGACCAGGTGCATTTCTTGTTAGTT